ATCATCAACTCATCATCATCAGCATCATCATCACCACCGACATCATCATCATCATCATCATCATCACCATCATCGTCATCATCAGAAGCAGCATCATCCATCATCACCATCATCATCATCATCATCATCATCATCATCATTATCAGCATCATCATCATAATCCGCATCATAATCCTCATCATCACCATCATCATCATAATGATCATCAAAGCCCTCATCATCATCATCATCATCATCATCATCATCATCATCATCATCATCATCATCATCATCATCATCATCATCATCATCCGCATCACCACCATCATCTCCATCAAAATCGTCATCATCTTCCGGTGCATCATCACCAGCAACATCCACATCAGCAAAATCGTCAGAATCCTCATCAGCATCAGCATCATCACCTTCATCACCGTCATGATCTCCATTATCATCACCATCATCAGAAATGAGCATCATCATCAGCATAAGCATCAGCATCACCATCGTCACCATCAACAACATTATCATCGGCGTCATCATCATCCTCATCATCAGCAGCATCATCATCATCATCATCAGCATCATCAGAATCAGCATCATCATCATCATCATCGTAGCCGTCATCATCATAAGCAGCATCAGGAGCAGCATCATCATCAGCAGCATCAGCATCATCAGCATCATAAGCATCGTCAGCAGCATCATCACCATCATCATACGCATCATCATCAGAATGATCATCATCATCTACGTCAGCATCTGCGTTAGCTACATCTCCATCGTCATCATCATCAGCATCCGCATAATCCGCATAATCCTTCTGTTCCTCAGCATCATCAGCTTCAGCATCACCATCATGGTACTCTTCATTACCATCAGCATCATCATCATCAGTATCATCATCATCATCATCATCATCCTCATCATCCTCATCATCATCATCATCATCATCATCATCATCATCATCATCATCATCGTCGTCAGCATCATCAGCAGCATCAGCATCATCATCAGCATCATCGTCATCATCACCATCACCATCGGCATCCTCATCATGATAATCGTCAGCCTCAGCACTAGCATCGGCATCAGAATCAACAACAACATCAGATCAGCAGCATCATCAACATCATCCGCAAAATCAGCATCATCATCATCGTCATCATCATCAGCATCAGCATCAACATCATGCTCGGCATCATCATCATCAGCATCATCATCATCATCACCGTCATCATATCAGCCAACGTTGACTCCAATAGATAGGAGGACAGGAGGTGGAGGAGGACGAGAGGAGGATGGGAGGAGGACGAAAGGAGGACGGGAGCAGGACGGGAGAAGGACGGGGGGAGTAAAAGCAAGCAAGCGCAAGCAAGCAAGCGGAAGCAAGCAAGCGCAAGCGATCAATAACAAGCAAGCAAGAGCCAGCGATCAAGTGCAAACAAGCAAGGGCAAGCAAGAGCAAGCAAGCGAGAGCAAGCACGCAGGAGCAAGCAAGCAAGTGCAAGTGAGAGTGCAAGAGCAAGCACGCAAGAGCAAGCAAGCAAGCAAGCAAGTGCAAGTAAGCAAGCAAGCAAGAGCAAGCAAGCATACGACCCATGCGACTCATAGGAATCCATAGGAATCCAAAGGACTCGCCATGGGATATAGCCGGGGGTGGCATTGGAAATAGCCATAGGAATTAGGGGGGGCACAAGAATTAGGGGCTGGTGGGGGGGGGGCAACGGACCAATTAGTAAGGTTTAAGCTAGAACTCCTATAGGGGGGCAAGCCTATTTGGGGAATCATCATCATCATCATCATCCTCATCATCATCCTCACCCTCATCATCATCCTCACCATCATCACATCACCAATCATCATCATCATCATCATCATTCATCATCATCATATCATCATTCATATGATCATCATCATCATCATCATCATCATCATCATTCATCCATCATCATCATCATCATCATCCGCATGCGCATCCTCATCCGCATTCCTGATCCTCATCCTCATCAGCATCCTCATCTCATGCTCATCCTCATCCTTATTTTTCCTCACATCCTCCTCGCCTCCGTCTCTGTCTCCTCCTCCTCAGCTCCTCATCCTCCTCCTTTTCATCCTCCTCCTCTCCTCCTCCTCCCTCCTCCTCTCCTCCTCCCTCCCTCCCCTCCCATCCCTCCCTCCTCCCTCCCTCCCCCCCCCCCCTCCCTCCCATTCCGCTACCTCCTCCTCCTCCTCCTCCTCCTCCTCCTCCTCTCTCCTCCTACCTCCTCCTCCCTCCTCCTCCTCCTCCTCCTCCTCCTCCTCCTCCTCCTCCTTCCACTTCCTCCTCCTCCTCCTCCTCCTCCTCCTCCTCATCGCCTTCCTCATCCTCATCATATCCTATCCTCATCCTCTTCCTCATCCTCTCCCATCATCATCATCATCATCCTCAATCATCATCATCATCATCATCATCATCATCATCATCAATCATCATCATCATCATCATCATCATCATCATCATCATCATCATCATCATCATCATCATCATCATCATCATCATCATCATCATCATCATCATCCTCATCCTCATCCTCATCCTCATCGTCATCCTCATCCTCCTCATCATCATCATCATCAGCATCATCATCGTCATCATCATCATCATCGTCATCATCATCATCATCATCATCATCATCATCATCATCATCATACTCATCATACTCATCAGCAGCAGCAGCATCATCATAATTCTTGTCAGCATCAGCATCAGCACCATTATCATCAACAGCAACAGCATGAGCATCAGCACCATCATCATCATCATCATTATCATCATCATCATCATCAGCATCACCATCATCATCATCATCATCATCGTCATCATCAGCAGCATCATCAGCATCATCACCATCAGCAACATCAGCAGCATCAGCATCATCAGCAGCACCATAATCATCATTATCGGCAGCAGCATCTTCTTCATCATCATCATCATCATCATCATCATCATCATCATCGGCATCGTCCTCATCGTCATCATCACCGTCAGAATCATCATAATTGTCATTATCCTCATCCGCATCGTCAGCATCATCATCATCAGCAGCATCAACCGCATCACAATCATCATCGTCACCAGCATCACCATCATCACCATCATCAACGACATCAACATCATCCTCATTAGCATGGTCATCATCATCATCATCATCATCATCATCATCATCATCATCATCATCCTCATCATCATCATCATCAGCATCAGCATCAGCACCAGCATCAGCATCATCAGCAGCATCATCACCATCATCATCATCACCATCATCATCGTCATCAGCATCAGCATCATCATGATCAGCAGCATCATCAGCAGCACCATCACCATCATTATCACCATCGACACCAGCACCATCAGCATCATCATCATGATCATCATCAGCATCAGCATCATCACCATCAGCATCAGCATCATCATCGTCATAATCATCACCATCAGCATCAGCATCAGCATCATCATCATCATCATCATCATCATCAGCAGCATCATCATCATCATCATCGTCAGCATCATCATCATCATCATCAGCATCATCGCTATCATCATCAGCATCGTCGTAAGCATCATCGTCGTCGTAATCATCAGCGTCATAATCAGCATCAGCATCGTCATCATCACCATAATCATCATCAGCAGCATGAACATCATCAGCAGCAGCAGAATCATCATCACCATCATCATGAGCCTCATTAGCATCAGCAGCATCATCGTCATCACCACCATTATCATCGTCATCATCAGCATCATCAGGAGCAGCATTGTCACCATCATCATCACCATCATCGGCTCCAGCATGATCATACTAATCATCAACATCAGCATCTGCATCAGCATCATCATCAGCATCATCCTCATCCTCCTTCTGGTCATCAGCATTATCAACATCAACATCGTCATGCTCATCCTCATCCTCATCCTCTTCCTCATCCTCTTCCTCATCCTCATGATCTTGATCATCAACAGCATCATCACCATCATCATCGTGATCACAATCATCATCAGCAGCAGCATCATCATCATCATCTTCATCATCATCACCATCACCATCACCATCATCATCATCATCCGTTATCCTCATCCTCCATCATCAGCATCATCATCATCGTCATCCTTATCCTCATCATCAGCAGCATCATCACCACCATCATCATCCTGATCAGCAGCAGCATAGTCATCATCATCATCAACAGCATCATCATCAGCATCAGCAGCGTCATCATCAGCATCATCATCAGCACCACCATTTTCATCATCATTATCCTCATCATCAGCATCATTAGCAGCAGCATCATCAGCAGCAGCATCGTCATCATCATCATCATCATCATCATCATCATCATCATCATCATCATCATCATCATCATCATCATCATCATCATCATCATCATCATCATCATCATCATCATCATCATCATCATCATCATCATCATCATCATCATCATCATCATCATCATCATCATCATCATCATCATCATCATCATCATCATCATCATCATCATCATCATCATCATCATCATCATCATCATCATCATCATAATCATCATCATCATCATCATCATCATCATCATCATCATCACAATCATAAGCATCAGCATCATCATACTAATCATGGGCATCAGCATCAGCATCATCATCAGCCTCATCCTCATCCCCAGCCCCCTCATCATCATCATTATCAGCATCATCATCACCCTCATCCGTATCCTCGTCCTCATCCTCTTCCTCGTCCTCACGATCATCAGCATCTCCAACAACATCATCACCATCATCATCGCCATCACCATCACCTCCATTACCACCACCACCACCACCATCATCGTCAGCATCGTCAGCATCATCCGTCCTCCTCATCTCATCCTCCCTGCCCACCCAGCACCGCGACCGCCGTGCGCCGCGCGCCCGACCGAGCGACCCCGAGCCCGCGCCTGGCGCCCCACCGAGCGCCAAAGGCCGGCCGTCCCCCCCCCCCGGGCGGCGGCGCTCCGTCGCGCCGCTGGCGGGCGCGCCGCCGGCACCTCGGGGGGGCCCGCTGCTCCTCCCCCCGTCCTCCTCCCGTCCTCCTCCTCCTCGTGGGGTGGCCCCCCCGCCTCTCCCCTCCGTCCTCCCCCGCCCTCCTCCTCCCGTCCTCCTCCCGTCCTCCCCCCGCCCTCCCCCCCCCTCTCCTCCCCCGTCCTCCTCCCGTCCTCCCCCGTCCTCCTCCTCCTCCTCGTGGGGTGGCCTCCTCCTCCTCGTGGGGTGGCCCCTCCGTCGTCCCCGCTCGGGGGGGGGTGCGGGCGGGAGGAGAAGCGCGAGGCTGGGAGGGCAGCGAGCGCAGAGCGGCAGCCCGCTCCCGGCGCGCCCGCCGCCCGTCGCGATGAAGCACCCCGTCGCAGGACGGCCCACATCTGCTTCCTCTCTCCTCCCCCTCTTTCTTTTTGTTTCTCTGTGGGGTGATTTTGAAGAGAACGGCTTCGTTTTCGCTCGGCGGCTCGTGGTGTCCCCGCTCTGGGCCGAGGGGGAGACTCCCCAACACTTTTGACAACGCGGGGTGCAGAGTGCACCGCCTGCGCACGCCGATCCTAAGCATTGCAAGCTTGCGTCAGACGTGGATCACAGGGTGAGACCGCCGCCACCGCCGCCGCCGCCTCCTCCTCCTCCTCCTCCTCCTCCTACTCCTCCTCCTCCTCCTCCTCCTCCTACTCCTCCTCTTCCTCCTCCTCCTCCAGTTCTTCTCCTTATAAAGAGCTTCTCCCTGTGGCACCCAGAGGCCAGCTTTTAGGGCGGGCCGGGTGTTTCGCCTGAGACTCCCTCACCATTTATGACCCTCAAGCTTCAAAAGCGGCAATAGTTTCACAGATGGAGGGCGGGTCGTTTTCAAAATGTGGCTCTCGCCTCAGCGCCGCGCACATTCGTTTGAAAAACAGAAGGAACTTCATGGATTGAGGGCGGGTGATTTTTAAAATGTGGATCTCGCCTGAGCGCCGCGCACAGTCGCATTAAAAATTTGCAAGAGTTTGACGGATTCCCATGATCAACGTGCCAGAAATGGCGTTTTGGAAGGATTCCGGATTATGAAGGCGCAACAGTTACGTTGGTTCGCGGTGTTGGAATCCCAGGAATGGCGTTCTGGCACGATTCAGGATCGTCAAGACGCAACAGTCAGGTTGATCCGTGGCGTTGGAATCCCGAGAACAATGTTTTGGCATGCTTCCGGCTGTTCAAACGGTTGTCTTCCAACGCGGCAGTTTGCTCAGTGGAGATGAACCCTCGCAGGGGCCTATGAGGAGGGAGCTTAAGGGGAGGGGTTATTCCAAACTCGTTGATGTTTCTTGGGTTAACACTGGTCCTCTTCTTCCTCCTCCTCCTCCTCCTCCTCCTCCTCCTCCTCCTCCTCCTCCTCCTTCCGTCCTCTCCACCCCCGTCATCCTTCCCTTCTCCTCCGCCCTCTGCCTCCTCTCCTCCCCCCGTCTTCTTCTTATTATTCTTATTATTATTCTTCTCTTCTTCTTCTTCTTCTTCTTCTTCTTCTTCTTCTTCTTCTTCTTCTTATTCTTCTTCTTATTCTTCTTATTATTATTCTTCTTCTTCTTCTTCTTCTTCTTCCTCCTCCTCCTCCTCCTCCTCATCATCATCCTCCTCCTCCTCGTCATCATCATCATCATCATCATCATCATCATCATCATCATCATCATCATCATCAATCATCATCATCATCATCATCATCATCATCATCATCATCATCATCATCATCATCATCATCATCATCATCATCATCATCATCATCACATCATCCTCATCACATCATCATCATCATCATCATCATCATCATCAAAATCATAATCATCATCATCATCATCATCAACATCAACATCATCATCATCATCAAAATCATCATCATCATCATCATCGTCATAATCATCATCATCATCATCATCATCATCAGCATCACATCATCATCATCAGCATAATCATCATCATCATACTCATCATCATCCTCATCATCATCATCAGCAGCAGCATCAGCACCATCACCACCACCATCATCATCACCATCATCATCATCGTCATCATCATCATCATCATATTCATCATGATCATCATCACCAGCATCAGCATCAGCATCAGCATCATCATCCTCATCATCATAATCAGCATCATCCTCATCCTCATCCTCATCCTCATCATCATCATCAACAGCCTCATCATCATCATCATCAGCATCAGCATCAGCTTCAGCATCATCATCATCATCATCATCATCATCATCATCATCATCATCATCATCGTCATCATCATTTTCCTCCTTCTCCTCCTCATCCTCCGTCTCCTCCTCCTCCTCGTCCTCCTCCTCCTTCTCTTCCTCCTCCTCCTCCTCCCCCTCCTCCTCCACCTCCTCCTCCTCTTTCCTCCGTCTTTTGCCCCCCTGATTCGAGCGGCGGTGAGGAGGAGCGCTCCGTACCTCGCCACAAAAGGCAAGGGGTCACAGCCCTCCCAGACGAGAGGCGCTGACCACCCCTGGACCAGCCATGAAAGGGCGGCCCTTTGCCCAGACCCCTGTGGAACCCTCCAAGACAGCTCAAATCAGACCCCCCGCCCAATCAGACCCCCCCCCTCCTGCTGTGAAATACGGAATAACGTGACCCGTGCGAGCTGTGAGCTGTTGAGCAGCCCATTCCTTCGGCTGGGGTGGCTACCATCGTCGCCCTCGCCCCCACGGCGGAGCTCGGCTGACCGAGTCACTCGAGGTCCTCGACCGACCGACCCCCCGCGCGGGGGAGGAGGGGGAGGAGGGGGAGGAGGGTCCGAGATCCAGGGTTCCGCAAAAGAAGCTCCACGAGGAGGGCCGAGGATAGAAGCCGAGCACCGAAGAGCCCCGGCTGCTGGGGGGGGCCGAGGGGGCGCGGGGTCGAGGACCGAGGATCCAGATGCTGGCCCCCGAATCCTCCCTGGAGACGTCAGGGAGCCTCGGCCCGCCCTCCCCGTCCATCGACCGTCAACCAGATCTGGGCGAGGAGCGCATAGGCTGGGAGGGGCCCACGGACGCTTACGAACATGTCAGAAACAGCTGTCATTGCCCAAGTTTCTGCGGGTGCGCCAGGTTCAGGGTGAGTTTTGGGTCGAGGCTGCGTTATCCAACCGTCTTGGTCATAGCCGCATCCCGGTCGTCGCCCCCAGCATTCCGTGAAGCGCAGTTTGCGTGTAGGCATGCTCAATGATGAAAGCATAGTCGTCAATGTTCCTTTCGATTCCCGTCATGCTGATGTCGCCCATACGTTCTACTGTGATGAGATCGGGAACGACGTCTAGTTCAGGGTCGACGCTACGTGGGTTTGGACCTATCGCTCGCATCGCACTCCGTAAGTCGAATACCGATGCAGTGCAGGCGCTCCAGACCGCCGCGCGACGCCCAGGGGAGGCGCGGGCGTCGTGCAGCGCGAGCGCACGCCGCCTCGTCTTGGCAGCCGCCGTCCCCCGGGTGCCCTGGATCCTGGCATCGGCCCGTGCGCTGGCCGTCGAGAGCAGGCACGGAGGGACCGAAGAGGCAAGGACACACAGGGTACCCTTGCGAAGGCTACCCGCCCACATCGTCGGCTTCGACCGTGGGCAAGAGCTTCAGACTCGGACGGCTCACAACTTCGGGCGGCTGCCGAATGGATGTCGGTTGCGGAGGCCTGTCCTGCCATAGGATTGCAAGAGCACGCGGCAGCACAATCGTGGGAACCTCGGTGTGTTCCTTCTTGGTTTGCTGTTCCAGCAGAAGCACAAATTGGTATGCCTGCCAGCAGCTTCACACTATTCGATCAATGCATGCTCGACCAGTCAGGCCCGATCCTTACAGTAATCTTGAAAATTCACACATCGTCATTGCATGATATGATTCCGACTTCTCATAGGGAAGGATTCTGCACCGATGGGAAAGGGCCCACCCTGTTATGGTGAGATGGGGATTTGTTGTAAAACAGTTTCGTTCTGCGCCCAAGCTGATGTACCCACAACAACTATGTGAGACTATAGCACAGGCTATGTGACAGTCATTGCTGCCTTCTCTGTTGGGTCAATCCGATCTGATCGACATCTCGAAACAAGAACAAAAGTCAAAGGGCGAGTCATTGTTACAGGTGTTATGTCATACAGCTAACAAAGATTATAATGCGTCGGGAGCCAGCAGTCGTGCCAGGCTCGGAAGCCATGCTGGCGTCGATGCTAGAAGCAACGCTGGTGCTTGCAATGACCTAGATGACGTAAATGCTGGCCCCGGTGTTGGAGGCCCTGCAGTCTTCGATGACGGCGTTGACATTGAAGTTGGTGCTGGCGTCGATGCTGGGGTCGGTGCTGGCGTCGGTGCTGGGGTCAGTCATGGCGCCAATGCTGGCGCTAGTCCTGGCTGCATTATTAAGGTCAGCGCTGGTTTCGGTGATGGTGCCGTTGTTGGCGTCGGTGCTGACGTCGATGCTGACGTCGGCGCTGGCGTTAATGCTGGCTTCGGTGCTAAAGCCGATGCCGACGTCGATGATGGCGTCGCTGCTGGTGCCGATGATGTAGTCGATGGTGTTTCCGATGCTGTTGTCGGTGCTGGCGTCACTGCTGGCGTTGATGCGTGAGGCAGTGCTCGTGTCGGTGCTGACTTCGGCGCTTGCATCGATGCTGGGGTCGACGCTGTCCTCGATGCTGGTAGGGATGCTGGCGCCAGTGCTAAAGTCAACACTTTGGACGATGCTGGCGCCGGTGTCGGTTTCGATGCTGACGATGAGACTCGCATCGCTGCTGTCGTCGATGCTATCTTCGCCGCTGGGGTCGGCGATGGGGTCGGCGATGGTGTCGATGCTGGCGCGGGCGCGGGCTCTGGTGCTAGAGTCAATCGTGTCCGCGGTGCGCGCCGCAATGCTGGCGTCGATAATGGCGTCGGTGCTGGCGTCGCTGCTGAACCGATGCTGACATCGGTGCGGAAGTCGATGCAGGCTCATGTGATGGCGTCGATGCTGGTGCTGCCCATAGTGTGGGTGGTGATGACCCTCCTCCTCTATCAACCACTTCCA